GCGATCGGACGTATCGACTCTCCGAATTGCGAAGCTTGTGCGCGCGGGAGTGCGAATTGTGCAAAAGGCCACCCTAAGGCTCAGGAAGGTCCTATAGGGAATCCCTTTTGGGTTTCCTCGTGTTGGTTTCGTCCTTCTAAGTGTTAGAAGTTGATACCACGCACGCGAAACTCCAGAAGGGGACGGAAGCGGGTCGAACTAAAACGAGGCGGGTTCCACTTCTAAGGTTCTAAGATAGTCGCAGGGAGACCCCTAAGGCTAGATCCTAACTCCTACGATGAATACTAGACCTCACGAAAATAATGTGGTCAACAATGTAAAAATTGTTTCTTTACATGGAGATATGGAGGAGGAGCTATACGAGGTGCAACCACGAGGCTACCAGGTTTCAGGCAAGTTTTGGTCTGCACACTGAAAAAAATTTTGTATGGCTTGAAGCAGGCCCCGAGAGAGTGGTACAAGAGAATAGACAGATTCATATAAGACAATGGGTACATGAAGCACCTGGTAGACGACCGTTGCTTCATTAAACACTTCGGTAATTGTTATGTTTTGTTTCTTTTATATGTGAATAGCATGCTGATTGCAGGGGCTGATATGGAGCAAATCAGGAAGTTGAAGAAAAAGTTATCAAATGAGTTCGAGATGAAGGATTTAGGTTCAACGAGGAATATCATCAAGATGAGAATCAGCATAGACAGGAGTGCATGAACACTAAAGTTATCTCTGGCAGAGTATGCAGAGAGGATCCTACAGAAGTTCAACATGAGTGATACGAAACCAGTTAGCATTCCCTTTGGCGATCACTTCAAACTATCTAACCAGTCGTCGTCAAACTCTGAAGCAGAGCAAGCACAGATGGAGAGAACTTCATATACTTCAGCAGTTGGAAGTTTGATGTATGCAATGATTTGTATCAGGCCAGATATTGCGCAGTGGGAGTGGTCAGCAGATACATGGACAATCTAGGCAGGCATCATTGGGAGGCAGTAAAATAAATTCTAAGGGATTTGGGATGAATAGACAACAGGGTACTTTGTTATAAAAATGTATGGATCAGTCTACAGGGATTTGTAGATTCAGATCTCGCAGAAGATGTGGACAGTAAGAGAAGTACAACGGGGTGCATCTTTACATTGGGAAACACAGATGTGAGTTGGGTTCCCAAATTACAGAAGATCGTTGTACTTTCAACTACGAAGGCGGAATATGTTGTTATTACTGGTGCTAGCAAGAAAATGATTTGGATACAGTTTCATGGCAGAATTAGGCAAGCAGCAGGAGATTGGCAAGTTCTACAGTGACGGTATGAGTGTGATTCATCTTACTAAGAACATTATTTTTCATGTCAGGATGAAGCACATCCAACTTGGGCATCATTTCATTCAATCACTTCTAGAAAATGGGCAGTTATTTTTGGAAAAAATACAAACAGCTGAAAATCCTGCAGATATATTGACGAATGTGGTGATTGTTGAGAAATTGAAGTTTTGTTTGGCTTCAGTTGAGGTTCATGAAGGTTGAGACCTAGAACGAGCCACACCACAGTACGTGACCACAGTACATCACTATGATAGCGATTCAAATGAAGGTATAGGTATAGAGAATTGAACTCGATGTTATCAATCTCCAAATGGGAGATTGTTAGGTGTGAAGTCAGATTGGAGCACCCATGAGCAACAAGTAGGTTGGCTTTCTCACAGATAGTGCTCTCGATACCATGGCACCAGGTTATGGGCTCTCCAGCACCCATTGGGAGTTCCCAGACCATGCAGGTGAAAATCCCACGCCCATTCTGGGGCGTTTAAGTACAAATTTTTTATATGCTCAAATTTTTAACTTATTTATTAATTTCATATAAAAAATCAAGTACAAATCAAATTTTTTATTTTACATGAAAAATTAAGTACTCAGTTTAAAATTTCATATTCTTTAATTAAAATAACAAGCCAAGTACAAATCGAGTATAAACATTAAAAATTTTAAGCAAGCCAAGAAAGAACATAAATAGGAAAGCTCGGATCAAGTTCAAACTGAACATGAATAACTAATGATGCAACTAAGCTAAGTCCAATCTATGCCATGCTCGTCTTGACTTGAATCAATTATAGTCGTAATTTGGAGTATGTAGCACAAATACCTAAGGAAAAGTTGTTGCCAATCTGATCGCACGCACACTCACAAATTGAACCATAATGCACTAGCGAACTCACAAAAAAAAAGTTTTGGAGATGGTCAGCAATCAAACGATGTTGTCCTCCATAAATTTCTACATAAAAATTTATTCTAGATACCAAGAAAATCTATTAGAGAAATTTTCAAGGCTTGCTTCTATCTAAATGTTTTCTTTCTCCAATTAACATATTTTTTTTCAAACTGAACATAAATAACTAATGATGCAACTCAGCCAAGTCCAATCTATGTCATGCTCGTCTCGATTCGTATCAATTATAGTCGTAATTTGGAGTATGCAGCACAAATACCTAAAGAATAGATGTTGTCAATCTGATTATAGTCGTAATTTGGAGTATGCAACACAAATACCTAAAGAATAGATGTTGTCAATCTGATCACACACACACTCACAAACTGAACCATAATACATTAGTGAACTCACCAAAAAAAAAAATTGAAGATGGCCAGCAATCAAACTATGTTTTCCTCCATAAATTTCTACATAAAAATTTATTCTAGATACCAAGAAAATCTATCAGAGAAATTTTCAAGGTTGGCTTCTATCTACACGTTTTCTTTCTCCAATTAACATAGTTTTTTTTCAAACTGTACATGAATAACTAACGATGCAAGTGAGCCAAGTCGAATCTACTGCATGCTCGTCTTGACTCGGATCAATTATAGTCGTAATCCGGAGTATGCAGCACAAATACCTAAAGAAAAGTTGTTGCCAATTTGACCACACACACACTCACAAATTGAACCATAATACATTAGTGAACTCACACAAAAAAATTTTGAAGATGGTCAGCAATCAATCGATGTTGTCCTCATAAATTTCTACATAAAAATTTAATATAGACACCAAGAAAATCTATTAGATAATTTTTCAAGGCCGGCTTCTATCTACATGTTTTCTTTCTCCAATTAACATAGTTTTCCTAGTTTCAAGGTTAGCACAAGTTTACTGGCAAGCATGTACAAACAGAAAAACCGAATTCAATTTTCACCGTACAGGATTTCTGCTTTATTTTATGTGCACTTGCATGTTAAATAGCAATTCTTCTACATCTTTCTCCCTTATGTTAGAAATCAACCAAAGAACATTGTCGTCTTGATTCAAAAAAAGGCTCAAGAATACATTGAAAACAATAATTGAATAGTTCACGAAGGTTCATATGAGTATTAAAATTTAGATTCTAATCATAATGCCAAAAAAAAACTATAGTGCTATTGCAATTTGTTAATTCGCAAGCGCACGCCACAAGAATTTGTCGTTCAGTCCATTTCAAAGTACTTGGGAAGTTGACTCCTCGTCATAAACGAAGGATATAGGTGGCCATTTTCCTTCTCACAGAAGTCCAGATAATTACCAGGACAAACTTACAACAGAAGATCCGAAAACGTCCTATCATTCGGTACTATGGCATGGATGACAAGACTGAGTTTATTAAAACCTTTTATAAGATGCTTCTTCACCTATGTAGTCAACCAATAATTATCATTAGCTTAATAGTTTGACTTCCCGATTGCATCAATTTAACACCGTACAAGAAATTAAATTCAGTCAAATACTATATGCATGGTCCGTCTACTCAACTGGGGGTAACTTACATGATTTGACCTTCCCAGTGAAATTCCCCGCACATCACATCAGTGAAAATTCTCAATCTAAAGCTAAAGATATGTCATAACCCTCACTGATGCTTCCCATCTGAACAAGAGGTAGATGAAAAACTCACCCATTGATTCCTGCAAGCTCAACCGCGGCCTGAGCAAACACATCTAAGAACAAAGATCGCAGGGTGGAAACTGACCTAATGACCCCAAAGCAATGCCGCAAATGAGAAGAGCGACGGTGTAGGGCACCCTGGTGCCCTTGAGAATATGTCGGCAAGCGATCCCAAGCACGAGCGAGATCCCAAAGAAGATGACGGCGTCCCGCGGCTCCCCCATGGTTTCTTCACGCATGTCGGTTCCTGTAAAAGAAAGCGGGCTCTCCACCACTGCTGCCATTCCTGTCGACAGGGAAATACTGCCTCGGGATCAACCTAGGCTCGAGGGGTTCGCGGGAACATCCAAGCGTGAGGCAATAAAAACGATCATCGGAGAGCGACAGTAACGAGGGCATCGTAAACGACACGAATTGTAGCGTCAACCTTTCGGGTCGCATCAAATAAAGAGTTACTTCCCTATTGGTGAAATGGTGTTAGGCAAGCCGGTGCAAGCTGACATAAAAGGGTTTTTTAAATTCTAGCTTACCTTAAAGTTTCTTTTTTTTTTTTTTTTTAATTCTAGCTTACCTTAAAGTTTCTTTTTTTTTTAATTCTAGCTTACCTTAAAGTTTTGGTGAAATGGTGTTTGAGTAAATGTTCGACCATTGAATCATCATCTCATCTACAACATGAGAAATTTTTGTGTTTAAGTAAATGTTCGACCATTGAATCATCATCTCATCTACATTTTCATTTAAAATTGATAATGATTGATTATTTATGATTGTGATTGTCATACGCTACGTATATGAGTAAATATTTTTGTAATGGGCGATTTGAAGTGATTCTTTTAGTGAATTAAATGATATATATTAGATATGAGGATAAATATATCAGTGAAATTTTAAATTGAGATTATTTTTATCATGAGTTGAAAATAGGGTCATGTGAAGGTTCAAAGAGTTGGGTTGGAACCATGCTTGATCAATACTCAAAACAAGTTCAAATTATATTTGAACTAGTTTTGAATCTAAATCAAAACTAATTGGAACAATGTTCAAATCTTGCTCCAACCTGTTTCAAATGCTATCGTTGTCAATTGTAAAGGCTCAAAGCAACTCCGACCAAACTCATGCCTTGTTCAAACAAGTTAGTAATCGTGTTGTTATATCTACTTTAAGCTTTATTCTTATGCATGTTTTTACAGATGAGTAAATATAAATTTTCTTATGTTGTGCAAGAAGAATGAGAAAAAGATGATCAAATTGATTGAATGTTTATTGATAATAAATGATTAATGATTTCAACTATTGCTAACCTTTAAAGTCTTGAACTTGTTATTTGTCTTTACTTAGGCTAATAAGCGGCAATTTTGTGTAGAGTTGTAAGTGATGTTTCAATTTAGTGGAGTACAACTCATGGTATCAATTTCTCAAAAAGAAATAATTACGCAACATGATATCTCAAAGATACTTCTATATCACCTCTTTTGGTCTCTTATTAATGTGTCGACTAAATTGAAAAATAATTTAACTTCATGCTTTAGGGAAAAGCTAATTAAGCATTTCAAAATTAAAAGAGCTTATGTTTATAATAAGTATGATGCAAGGCTAAGTAGTCCAACACCTACAAATGATGCAACATTTGCTAACATAAGAGCAAAAGGTGTAGTTGAAGGAAAAATAAAAAAAAATGAGCATAGCTCCATAAGTGTGTTATCACCATTGACTATCGAGTCCACTAAAAATGCCTACCCCAATTTGTAGTGTCGTTGAATCTAATGAAAAAATTCATTAAGTTCTTCATATACACTAGGAATAAAAATAAGTTTTACTGCCATTAAGCACATATGAATGAATCAATCGTTTAAAAGAATCACCTATTGAAGGTACTATAAACCCATTGACTATTGATATAATGACCTCATATTTAAGTCTTTATTCAATTGAAGCAAATTTTAGACATATATTTAGAGAAAATATGAATTGAATAAATAGTTATGTATATATGCAATAAGAATTTTTTTGAGTTTTTGTTTTAAAAAAATTAGATTAGATAATCTTTACATATGTTTTACTATTATAAATTATTCATTAACTAAGTTTGCAACTTAGAAAGTTGGTGCACTCGGGCATACTTGATATTTGGAGCCTTGTATCATAATGCACTAGTTTATTGGAGGTTAAAATAATAAATCAATGATAAACTTAATTATGACTCATTGGGCAAATCACTATGGAGAAACTTGTTGGATCAATAATCTTAATTATGACTTATCGGGCATAGACTAAGGAGAAACATGTTTGATCTAACCCAATATGAGCCAAAAGCAATAATACTTGATTTTAAAGTAGATTATGTGCATTGAGTATTTTAGGAGAATGTGTGTTACCATTTGAATGAGCTCTCAGTTATATAATATGATCTCTTAAAGTACACTTTAGAAACCACCATCATGTTTTTTTCATGTTGAATAGTAAAATTTAGATACAACAATTAATTGTATATGGAAATTGATTGATAGTTCTAAATAATCCAAGTATGTTTTCTTTTTTCGGTTTTATATTTAAAGCTTCAAAGGTGCACATTGTCTTTGTCAATCAAATTTAGATGATTTTTATCAATAAGACATTTATTCATCATTGTCTGTTTTTGGAAAATCTTTGTTGATTGGACAACTTACATCGTTGTCAATCGTGGAAATTCTTTACCAATCGGATGTCTAGTGTATCTATTGGTTTTGCTGCTCAGGTGAAACCACTGTTAGCGGGATGGTTTGAGTTCCTCAAATGTTGATTAGACTTTGACAATTCCTTGCATGAACTTCCCAAGTCCTCCAAGTGTTAGTAAGAGTTGGGCACTATGTGTAATTAGAAAAATTTAACTTAATTATTATCATGACTTGACAATAAAATCCAAGAACTGGAATGACAACACATTTTCATTGTCAAGTAGAGAATTGGTCAGGATATTGGAACTGACTTTTTTGGCAGTATGCTTTGTCAGTCGCTCATTGATTCAAGTGCCTTTGTGAGCCTTCGAGGTAAGTTTAAGCCGAGTGGCAAGGAATGTGTCTTGGCTTCTGGCTTATTTTATGGTCAGTTATATTTGGTGGATGGTGGTTGACTCACTTGATTCTGAATGATGTGAAATAAGAGTTGTATTTTTTTAATATATGTTTTTTGGCTTGTTCCAATAACTCGACTAGCATCTTCGATCATTGCAAGCCAAGTGCGCATCAGAATGGTTTTTCCTTCAGTTCTTAAGCAAGGGGCAATGTAAGCTATTGTCGGTTTCAGATCCCGCGCTTCCATCATCTATTTATAAAAGTGAGTGATGAACGGGGTGGAGGCTCTTGTTCTATCCTCGTACGATTTGCAGGAGGGCATGCAAACTCATTTGCGGCTTCTCGCTTGCTCGAGTCAATAAACAATGTCATGACTCCTGAAGGCAATCCCTTGAATCACCTGAGAGCTGACTCTCTCAACGTTGTAAATAAGAGACGATATTTCTACACATTGGTGATCCATAGCAGGCACACAGTCAACTCAAACAAGGCTATGCGGTCTGTTAGATCAGCCATACTCTTTTATGATGCTAATATCAGGATCTTGAAACTTTTTAATAGCTCAACCTCGAAAATTTACTGAAAAATGCATTATCTGACTGTCGGGGCACCTCAGTATGCCCAAATACTTATCTATTAAATGATGTTGACCCAGAACCATCAAAAGTACTGTGAGTCGTCAGATATAAGTTAATTTTATGTGATTTCACCTGTGATTTCACCTGTGATTTTCGCTGTGGGCAAGCCTTCGGGGGGTTGGACAGGCAAGCCGCGAGTAAAGGAATAGGACCTCGCTGCAGGAAGCAACGTCGTCATCAATAGCCGCAGCCTTTGCCGAATGAGGCCAATGGCAGACAATTTTCGCTAGGATAGGGGGGTCGGTCGAGTGGGCAAAAGATTCACGAGTGAACGAGGAAGATGAAAAAAAAATAGGTTTTAAGATAGAACTGAGGCCAACTCAACGGTGACTGGACTTTGTTGGCAATTGAGTTGTCGTTAAGTTGACGACTCTATTGATTTATAATTTTTTTTTATGCGTCGATTTAAAAAAAATTCACTTTGCCATTTTAAAATTTTCACCTAATTAAATATGATGTCTCAAGGCTCCGTGTTTCGATATTATTGTTTTCCAATGCTGCTTGTTCTTGTCACATATAGATTCATTTTCAAAATATTTAAAGCAAATTTGAGGGGACTTTGCCAAAGATGTGAGCATATTTTGGCCAGCAATTGTTGGCTGAGAAGCAATGAAGGAAAGAACATCAGAATGTATCGAGACAGAGTTAGACATAGGGCATTGAAAGTGAATATGATAAAGTCTTATTTAAAGATTAGGAGGAATGAATTTTGTATCTATTGGAAGTTAATAAATGCAAGCTTCAAGTTAGATGTTGTTATGGACCGTAGAAGTGGGCGGAAATCATAGCTTTATTACACTTGTCACTCTGCTCCAAATACTCGTTATTTTGGGAGCAATCAAATTGTCTTATGCTTGTATGCTTTAAGCCTTCAAAGTTCTTATAGCTATATATATTTTTATCTTGTATACAATTCAGGCGTCTGCTCGAGCTTGAACCGGTTTGGCTAGCAAACTTGACTATATATTCAAGCCTGAAAATATGTTTCATCATTTTAGGTATTAATGACTTCGTATCCGTTATAAGTCTTATAAAAATATGTTTCATCATTTTAGGTATTGTCAGCACTATTTTTGGTGTGGGGTTTGCCCGTGAACCCCTTATCTTCTTTTTCTTCCTATGGTTGGACCCAACGAACTTCCATGAACTCTCGCCTCTTACGCATCTTGTTGGCCTCGTTGATGCCTCACTTTGACGAGTTTCTGTGCCATACTAATGGCCTCATTGATGCCTCTTGTTGGCCTTGTTCATTCCTCTTCAATGAGCTCCCAAGTCTCTGTTGGTCCGGTTGTTGCCTTCTTTTTGTCTTCATCTCGACCCAAGCTTGAACTTGGGAGTAAATGGATGAACCAAGATCAAGCTCAATGTTTGAGCATGAATCGGGTTTGAGCTCAAATTCAGGCCGTTTCTGATTGACAGGCTAAGCTCGAGCTCAATTTAGCTCGTTCATACCCCTTGCTATTCCTATGGGCTTTGTCTACATATTTGGATTTTTGCTCAAAGGTTTTTTTTTTCTATTTACAATATAATTGCAATAAATAAAATAATGCATTTAATCACTTAGAATGTTACTTGACCAAGCCACATAAAATAACTAAGCCAGTTACTTTTTTCTCATAATTACTATTCTGTATTTGTACTTTTTTTTACTATTTTCCCACAATAAATCCTAAAATTGATTTGTCTTGTGTGTTATTCCACAATAATGTCAATTAATTCCTAACTTTTTGCAAATAAATTAGCTG